TATTTAGCTTGGCTTATAAATTAACTAGGAATTTTAGAATGTGCTTCTCTTTGGATGTTAGGCTCTGTTGCAGCACTTTTTAAATTTGCAGAGCATAACATTAACCTTAATTTACCTCAAAATGCTTCTTGGCAATTAATTCAACCTAAGCATTGTTGTTTAGATGCTTTTAATGTCTTTGCTCTCTCTGCATATCTTTGTGAAAAATCCGGTCTAGGTTTCTTGTGTTGTTTTGTAAATGATGCAAACTCCAAGGCATTTTATTTCAATGTTATTGACAGTTCATATTTTAACTGTTGAGAAAATATGGTTTAATATTTATATATCATTGAAATATGAATTTGCTAATTGCATTTTTGTTTACATTAACTTTATTACGTTACTATCACTATTAGAAGGTAGGTGAAGCAATGGGCAGAAGGAACAATGGGAATCAGAAGGCAAAAAGCAGCGTTGTGGCATTGTAATGTAAGCACTACCCCTTTCTGATGCATTATGTTACACATGCACCCAAAAAGGGCAGAGATTGTACAGTGATGCTTTCATTGTTCTGATGAAAGCAGCAAGGTCCTGTGGATGCCCATAAAACTAAGTATAGATACTTCAATCAGTATTTCAAAAGAAGTTTTGTTCAACCCATTTTCACAAAACCCCAAATGGCACTGATTGCACAGCTTCTAGGCCACTGATTTGGAACAATTCTAGCTAAACAGTATTTGTTTTATGCAAGTATCAAGAAAAAAATATGTAGGAAGGAACTAAGTATCTCGAGAAACTATCCACATGGATATTATTTCTCATGCTAATGATGGCTAATTGAGAATGTCTAGTATGCAACTCTCAAGAGTTCTCTGTCACATAGACAACTAGTAGGAACTATGGAATAAATACATAAATTATCCTCCATGTGTTCCAGACAATTTACACCCAGCAAATAAGTGAGACTATTTTGGAAGCAGCTGGAATTTCCAAATTGGAATTTGGGGATTACAAACAACACTAGCCATCTTAAACTATTATTTGTTAACACCAAGGATCTTTCCTATCAGTTTTGGAAAAAGATGGTATCCTGGAATTGCTTGTAGATTCTATACCCAAATCACAGAACAAATATTCAGCATATAATACACCAATAGCACTGTGACAAGGCATCTCAAAAATGATTGGCTGTAACTTATTTGCAGTGTAGTGTTTTAGGAAATAGTGTTTTGTCCGTGAGTGGATACAGGTAACATTTCCTTTACCCATCTAAATGCATGGTGCATATTTCCTTGCTCCCATTAAGAATTATACAGTAAGATCACCTGGAATAATGTGGTGATTTGCATGTCCGCCCATGGGGAGAAAGGTAGGAAAGAACATCATTTTCTGTGATGATCTGTATAACAGTTTCATGGCTTGGCAGAGTAATAGTGTCATCGATTGCTGCGTGATTTGGGAGAAACATTGAGGTTTGTCTGCACAATGAATTTCCTGTGCTTAAAATATTGAGCCTTTCTTTGTGAGAGGCACCCTTGTAATCTTGTGGGAGTATGACTTACCTAGTCTTTAACGGTGTCAAACAAAAGGATTTTCACAACAACTGCATTATGCTTTCTGGTTCCTGTAATCAGGGGTAATGCTGAAGTTTTATCCAGGCATCATAAATACAATGGATTTAGTTTCTTTTCGACTGTGTCCACTTACCAGGCTTACTGTGTCATAACTGATTCTGCTCCTATTAAAATCTAGGTGTCCAGGCCAAATCTGACTGGGGCAAATTTCATCTGTATTGCAGTCTATGACCAGAGCCACAGACAGTAGTCTGTACAGAATCTGCGATCTGATATGCTGTTATTGAAGTTCATTTCAACCCAATAGCAATCTTGTCCAAAACAACAGCTTTAACTATTAAACTGTTAACTATTAAACTGGGGATAAGTTTCACCTGTCATAAATCTAACACTGTGTGATACTTTATCAGGTCAATGTTGCTAGAATAAAAGACCACCTATTTGTAAACACTGGCAGTTTTACTGTGCGTTTGAGTAAGTTTTTCCATCTCTTTAGAGAGCATCCAAACAGTAACAGACTAAGCTGAAGAAATAGTATTATTGAATATGAATTTCCCTGCACATATTAGATGCTCTGGGGCACAGCAAAGGGAGTAAATGTAGAAAATGTCCTCTTTTTTACTTTTTTATCAGTCTCCAAAGGGTTAGTTCTTCCTGTAGCTGAATCAGGATAAGAGGCCATTCAGACAAGATGTACTGTTAAATATGAAGAGGCTCCTTACTCTGATCTACCTTGAATTCCCATCTTTCACTTTCCCTATTTAGTGTTATTATTATTGTTGTTTTGGCAATTGAGATTTCTAAGTCTTTGGAATGAAACTTTTTGCTATCCATATAAAAGATTTCCAGGAATGCTTACAAAGTGAAGAACACCTGCGAACTGATTTGCAGTAAATTCTAAACTGTTGTAAACATTTTCGTTTGGTTCACTGATATGGAGGAAGAAGTATGCTATTTTCTTGTCCTAAGACATACTTCCTCTCTCTGTTTCCCAAGTCTCATAAAGTGTGTTGTGTTGTGGTTTTTTTTGTCTTTTTTGAACAGTTTGAAAAGAAAAACACATCCATACACATGAAGGCCTATTTATATACTATCACACATCAAAATCTGGTGCAAATTATTTTTTTTGAATTGCTTTAGTTAAATTAAACAGTGTTGCATCACTGATTCTTATAAAAGAAAATATAAAGCACTAAGAATTCATAATTCATGACTTAAATTTGTGACGTGGTGTATAGTGAGCTTTTATTATTATTTTTTAAAAATTTTTGGAAAGTACTTTTTTGATCCTTTGTAAACTCCATACAGAGCAAGGGTGACTACCTAGAACTGCCCTAGCCCAGGAACATTTCCTGAGCAGCCAGGTCTGTTTCTTTATGCCAGGGAGGTATCTACACTATAAAGCTGCCCTAATCTCTGAGGACACTGATGTTAGCATGGTTTCATCCCTCTCTATGGTGGTTCTTGAGGTTATAAAAAAGTTCTTTATTGTGCCCTTGTGGAGAAAGGAATATTGAATCCATAGTCTACATCCTGTTATATTGCATTTTTTAAATAAGGATACAAGGATCTGCCTTTGAACTCCTCGTTTAACAAGTTACCCGGGCAATTCCGATCTATTCTATGTACAGCTGCTATTATCACACCAGTATGATTCATTTTCTATGAACATGGCCATATTTTACTATACGGCTTATAAAACCAGACATACTTTGACTGCATCAATGACCCTGCCATAAACTATGCTGTTTTATTTTGTTTCATCTGCTGTTAACTTATTGAATTCTGGTTAGTGACCATAACAAAGTTAAATACAAAAAAATACCCAGAATAGTTAAAATCACTCTGTTGAAATATCTGCCATAATTTTTAAAAATAAATTAAGCAGTAAAATAGATATACTATGTCTCTCACAGGTTTAACCTACCCATTTTACTCTGCAACTATCAAAGGAAATGGGTTTTGTCAGATGATGAAAAAATATATACAAAAAAGTGCACCCTCTGATTGCTAAGAGATGTTAAATAACTTCAGAACTGCCTTACTGTATTCTGAAATATTTGGATATATTTTCCTTTGAAATCACATTCCTGAGCCTAGCTAGAAAATGCTTTAAAAACAAGACCCACAACAAGGAAAAAAACAACATTAATATACAAGAATCACAAATGGGTCTATATATATAGTACAATAAAGAAATTTATGCAAATATTTATACTTCAGATTCAGAATAATTTGTTGTCACTAACTGCACATGTACTATAGATCAAGGTTAACAGATTATTATGTTTCAGTGGCAATATACTATGAATATCAGATGTTGGGGAACATGAATATTGCAGTCACATGGGTTTCCTAGAGAAATGTGGTTGACTACTGTGGAAAATAGGATGCTGGACAAGAAAGGCCTTTGGTCTAATGTTAGTCATTTAGATGGGTGATCTATTGAAGAAAATAGCCTCTCATTTCTCAGTACATCTCAATTTTAGGAATATTCATTGATGTTCTTTGGAAGTAGATTCAAGATTCCTTCATACAGCGCATAATTCAAAATTTGGAGAAAATCACGTCTGAGATACGTTTTAAAAGAAATAACCATATAGAGGCAGATGGGTCTAGCAATGCCTGTAAGTTCCCGTTTAGAGTCAGATACACCAGATTTTAAAGTCAAGCAATAAGAGCACCTGTTGACTTCATGCTTCCTTGGAAGCATTGGATGAAATGCTGGGCTAGAAGACATTCAATGGCCTTTATACTTCAAATGAGCAAACAGCCATGGAAAGATGTAGGCATCCAAAACCACTGTTGTATCAATCGCAAGCCTTTCCTGGATTGTCACCTCATTTGATCTCTGCTAAAGTTGATACCTGTGGCAAACTTATTTTTCATAACTTCCTCTAAAGGTTCTAAATCTGGCATTACTGTGTTATTCTGGAGTCACTTTGAATCTGTTGGTTCAAATGCCACAAATTTACCTGCTGAGTTTAAGCTGAAATTATACTGCTGCCATCTTGTTCAGGTCCCACTTTTTGAACTTTTTTCATACTCTGAACATTCTCTCTCAATGATTCATTTTATTTCATTAAAAAAGAAAAATCTAAATTTAAATCTAAATATCTAAATCTAAATAAAATCTAAATATTTTAAAATCCTGTTCCCCTCCTCCCAGCATAAAATGGAGATAGCTCCAAAACAGGCATTGTCCTTTGGCACTGATTCTGAAATACATTTTTGGTGCTTCAGCGATAACATGAACTCTCCAAAAGACCTTTGAGATGCGGTTAGTCTGCGTGCGGATGGTACTTCTCTTGCTGAAGTACCCACGGGACAAATGACAATTGCTGCTGAGTTCTCTGGCAGAGCAAGGAAAGAATAAACTGTGTTGAGAAAGTATATCTACACATAATTCCCCACCAGCTCTAAAGACAAGCTGCCCCTTTTCTTTGTTCTACAATAATGAGTATTTTATTTAAGGTTTTCATGTATTGCAGGAAATACAGTGCAGCTTAAGATATAAATCACTGAAATGATATATTTTAAATATTTAGTCAGCCAAATAAAATGACAGAATAAGGAATGAATACACACCTTTTCATTCGTAACAATCATTACACCTAGAATTGTCCTTCCAGAATTTTAACTACTGCCAAATATCAATATTTGTTTTAACATCCACTTAACTATGCAAATATTTCTTAAGATGTCTCAATGTCTGCCTTTGATTCCTTTATTATGATAAAAAAGAGATAATTAAAAATAGTTGCAACTGCATCAGTGTACATTAGGTTATTTTTATGGTAATTATAATCATATGTGCTGTGTTCTGAAATTAACTATCTCAAGTGTGCTTTCTGCAATAATTTGTTATATTCACTTGGAAAGTACTGCCCTGAATCTTACAAGAACAAAAAGATCTCATGATTTTTTTAGAAAAAATATTTTGGCAAGTGGATATTGTTGTCAATTATGAAAAGGAATCTTGCTGTTAGAAAATTAAGCTTCTAAATTATTGAAACAAAATATTCAACAGAAATCAGAAATAACATGCAAATGCAGACTCTTGATGTATATTATATGTAAGTTAATCTGTGAATTGCAAAAGGGATGTAAGTATATAACAAAATTTAAATAATCTTTTGTTATAGTAGAATATGGGGATTCTAAACTTCTCTCTTTGTGTTTTTTCAGAACTCATTTGTGCACATGTATCCCAATGGAAAGGCTGTATCTCAAGGCTGAACACTCACCATGCATGCCAAAGATACTAGATTCCATCATCTTAATTCACCAAGATATTCAAGCCAGTCTCAGTACTATATACTGGCTAACATCCTACTTGAAATAAGCTTCTGAAAATCAGTATCATTCAGATGTATCTGGAGCTGTAAAGGTGCAACATTTCTGAGCGCCTTTCCCAGACTTATAATTGCAAAAGACTCCTAGTCAACTAAGGACTTGAAATTGACTTAATTAAGTAGGAGGAAACAAATTCCTCCCACCACAAGGCCCTTATGACCATGGGTCTATTCTGTCCTGGTTGAGTGTGTGAGAGAGCAATAGCCCTCCTCTCTACAGCACTCTGCAGAGAGTTGTCTTCAAGATAGTTGGATTAAATACTAGGTACTTTCTTAGTCTGTATTTTTTGTTAGATCAACAATTCTCAGGCAATTTTTCTTAGAAGATATAAGCTTGTTTCTAATGTTTTTCAGCATTTGCCTTATTTGGCCTTCAAAGACGTAAGTTTGACTAATCAGCAAAGTAAGGAAATTGTGTTCCGCAGTATGTGGATAACTGTTGAAGTAATGTTTAGATATGCCCCCTACAACACGTTTCATGCACATGATTTGCTTCTTTTTCCTGTTTGGAGAACTTCTAATCCAGGTAACAAATGATAGAGAAAAAGAACATGCTTTTGTGTCATATCATAATGAGATGCTGTAGATAGCATTTTGCATTTCCTGACTACCTAACTCTATCATGCAAACAACAAAAACAAAACAAATTAACAAAAAACCCAAACATATTTTAAACAGACAGCTGGAAAGTAATTCAGTCTCTTGATCCAAAGTTTTCAGTCAAAGATATCCACTTCAGGTGCTGCTTTCAAAGGCAATATTCTTCTTGGCTGTGATTGTAAAATGTGGGGCCACAGTTGCATTCATTGTTCAGTGAGCTTGTCCACAAAGTTAAACCCACCGACAGCAATGAATGTTGATTGTGACCTTTTTTTGTGGATATAAGTGAAACTCTGCAAGGGAAGACAAAAACAAATCATCTTGGGTGTTGGCTTTATGACTATCTTCAATGAAATTCTGAAAGCATGAAGCAATGAGGAGGATGGTTAGCTGGAGGGTACAATCAACGGTCGATGGTTTTCACTTTAATCCCAAA